CTCACACACCCCAGCCACCCTCCCCCCACACAGATTCCCCCACAAACCCCACACCCACCCATACCCCACATATCCACACATACACCCACAACTCCCACACCCACACAGACACACCCTACACACCCACAGCCCCCCCAAACCTATACCCACCCCCCCACAATATACAAGAATAAAACTTCATTTTAAGCTATTATATACAATCACCTCTATGCACACTACGCAAACATGTATAAACCAGGACAAAAATATTTTTTGAAATCAAATTAATGTTTTAGATGTCTGCTTTCTAGAATATAATTTGGTATTTTTCTGGTTCTGAAATGGCAAACCCCCTTGCTGAAAGGAGTACTTCCAGGGGCAAAGGTCAGGGGTTAGGGGGCGGGACTTCCAGTCACTAGATGGTGACTGAGGGTGGGGCACCTGTCAAGGGGTGGGGCTACCCATGCCATCCGCGACAGCTTGCCAAAACTCAGTCAGCGGCCCTTTGCCCAAAATAATTGCCCACCCCTGACCTAGCTCTTGCAGCAGTGAGGCTGCTACAGCAGCAGTCATAAGCTGCCCTGGCAACCAGCCTTCAGGCCCTAACAAGAAATCCCTGCTCAGCTGGAGCATCACTTGACCAGAAGAGGCAGGGTTTAGCCAGCATATAAGCCTAGTGCCTGAGCCAGAGTGAACAGTTTCTGGCTGCAGACTGCAGGAAGGGAAGGGGCTCTGTTGCCCCCAGGAATCCTCTAAGGATGCAAGAAAGACACTGCAGGCTTGCTATCAGGGAGCTATACCCCAGGTCAAGGGGCGGTATGGATTCTGTGACAGTAAGCTGCTGTTGATGCTTAGGACCTAGTGTAGGTTTAGCTTTTGTTACAGCCAGTGTGCTTATTTCCTTGTTACACCAGTATGAACTGGTTTGGGTTTGGAATTATTAGGGGTGAAAGGAGGTCCCAGCAGTGTCCAGAGCAGGTCAGAGATTGGGCCAGGAGGCCCAGACAGAGCCAAAGCAGGCTCAGCACCTAGAGCAGGGTGGAGACAGTGCATAAGGGCCCAGGGCTGAAGTAAGTGAGCTGGTGCCCAGAAGCCAGGTCCAGCACAGTGGGCTGGACTAGAAGGCTGGGCTAGAAAAAAGGGGCAGAGACCAAAAAGACTAAGACCCCGACAAGGGAGAGTGTACTGTAACACCAGGGAGGCATGGGACGGCTGTAGGGGAGGTCAAAGGCTGTGAATACCTGTAAAGGCTACAGGTGCCCTGGGAAGCATGGACAGGCTGACAGGGCCCACTTAGTATGAAGTCAGGGTTGAAATGGCGGAGTCTGGGAGGGACCTGCTAACTGTCAAGAAAACGAGTGGCTCACTCTACAACCCATTAGGCAGCCTTCCTTGCAATCAATTAAATACATCAAGGTGTGGCAGACAAGTCAGCAGGGGAGGGCACCCTAGAGCTGGAGTAGGGCAAGAATTGCGTGGTCACCGGGGGCATCATGGCTGCCTCTGGAGCCCAAACTTGCTATACCCTGTGAGTCAGCCCCCAAAACCTCCCTGTATTTCATTCTGAGGCCTTTGTCTTGTCCAGGTGAAGTCAGGCACCTATACAGCCAAACACAGTTTTTATGCTAGGTTCCTAACTGTTCCCTGGCACCTGGCAAGGTAAGGTTTCAGTCAGCCATTTCCCGCAATGCCCACGGGTGGGCCCCAGGAAGTACTTGTTGGAGGGAAGGGGTGTGCACCTGATCGCCATCATAGTCGCAGAGAGCCTCCACTGCAGTGGGCTGGAGCGGAGTCTCCCGACGCAACCTCAGAGGAAGGACCTGCTGGCTGCGCTTCTGCAGAGATGTCACCACTGTATCGTACTTGTCCAAGGCCTTTTCCTGGTCCTAGCAGAAGGGGACACACAGCTGTGACCATGAGGGAGTTTGAAAATGTGCCACAGACTGAGCACCAGGGGGACTGCACCCCACTGTGCACAGATAGAGACCTTACCCCCAGCATTTATGATCATGGACCCTGATGCGAGGGCACAACTAAAGGCCTTCCGTGCTCCTGTCTGGCTGAGTGGATTGTAAAGCATAGGTGTCCTCTAACTGACTGTGGGCTTCTTACAGTTGAACTCTGGTGCGTGAGTGTTAATAGTGTAACACTTCAAGAGCTGCTCACGCCCCTTGGCTGTGATTCCTTCCACTGGCTGAATCTGAGGTGCTGGTTGAGTGCTAGTATCTTACTGGCATTTCACATTCCACAGCAAGAGGAGTCATAGATGCCTTTGGGCATTAAACTATCACATCTAATAGGAATCATCTGTTCTATTCTTCCATTTAGCAAATCAGGCCACTGTGCCATCCTAAGGTGGAGAAGGGACCTGGCAGCAGCAGAGAGGGAGACTCCTGAGAAGCCAGGCAAGGTTTGAATCTCTTTGTTTTCATAGAGCCTTAGAGAAACAGTGTGGGAAGGGACCTCTGGAGGTTATGTAGTCCAACCCTTGCCTGGACTACATGAGGCAGGATCAGCCCAATCCAAACCATCCCAAGCAAATCCTTGTCTAACCTATTACTTAAACTACACATGCAGCCCTGTCACACACTCAAAGCCTAGTGCCCTGACACACTACAGGTAACACAGAGGGACCCCAATGCCCAATGTCCTGCTGGTGTGCGTGTTGTTAAAATTTCTTCTAGAGATTCAAGGAAGAGGGCCACATCCCTTGCTACAGAGGAAGACAAATATTTGCAGAAAATTCCTTCCTGGCCCATGTGTAGCATAGCTACTTCTAGATCATCCCTGGTCAATGATTATCCAGCCTCTTCTTGAACCCCTCTAATGATGGAGTTCCACCACTTCTAGGCAGTCTGTTCCACTGTCTCACTGTTTGAACAGTGTCAAAGTTTTCCTGGATCTCCAGTTTGAACTTGCTTTGCTGCAACTTCAAGCCACTGGTCCATATCCTGCTCTGTGCACTTAGAAATCTCTGAGAGAGAAAAGGTATTTTCTTTCACCTTTATGGCAGCCCTTCAGATACACTGCTGTCATGACTGCTATCCTCTTAAGTGCCTTTTCCTTCAGCCTCTCCTCATATGGCTTGCCTTCCTTTGTGAAACTACTTTGCATCCAGTTGTAACAATATATTGAGGAAGTATGTACTAAGTGAGCCTGTGGGTCTGATGGCTGGGGGCTGGATCCAGTCCAGATATTGCCAGAACCAAGCACAGGTCCTGGACCAATGATCAGAATGAGAAAATTGTCTGCCTGGGTCCCAGTCTTCCCGGGTCCCAGTCTCCCCAGCCAGGGCCCTGCCCTTGCACTTAGCAACAAGCCCCAACTGGTAGGGGCAGCAAATCAAGGTGTGCATCTGCCTGATCCAGGGAGGGGGTTAGTTGTTGAGGAGGTGTAGGCTTGGGGGTCTGTAGAAAGAGGCAGGTCATTGTGTGCCTGCCTTAGGGTGGAGCATATCTGATATTGGCTGTGCTGATTGTACGGTGCTGTGCACTGGGACCAGCTCATCTGGTCTGCCTTGCCCTTCCCCGAGTGGGCGGCTGCAGAGACTCCTGTGACAGCCATTCAAATCATGCTCCTAGCTTTAACAAGTACCAGCCTGATGGAAGAAACAAAATAATCCAGCCCTGAATGATGTAAAATCTGGCCACCACAGAGCAATCAACAGGTGAATGCCTGTGGACAGAGGAAACCAGGGGAGTCTACACCCTTTGTCTGCCTTGCTCAAAGAGCAGACAGCGCACTAACATGCCAGCAGCCTTCTGGGCAGTACCAGCTCTGATGCCATCAATGTTTCTGCCCTTATCAGCATGTATGCTATGCTCCCAACCACCCCTGCTTCTTGCACTGGTTACTTACATCCAGCTCTCGAAGAAGAGACTCGATCTGGTATCTGTCCTTAAAGTCAGGGCTGTATTTCTGGTCCAGGTCTGTATCCACCTTCCTCAGCAGCTCCTGGGCATCCTTGGCATCCTTTTGGAACTGCAGAAAGGCCAAGCAAACTTTTGTTCCAAAGAGAGCCACAGCTCCAACCCCTTTGTCCCAGAATGGGCTGCCAGAACTTGCTGGTGCTATACCCTCTTGCTGGTTGCTGAGCATACCAGAACAGAGAAGCTGCAGCAAACTATGCTAAGCCTGCACTGAAGTCCAGTGAGCCCACATATGCAGGAGGGGGCTGTGTGTAGAACAGTTCCTTTGCACCCCTAGTCAGCACTCTGCTGTCCTCGGGAAGCATGAAAATCTGGCCCTATATCTCCTTAGTCTTCCCAGTGTTGGACTTGGGTCCTTTGTGACCTAACAGAGGGGTTTTCAAGAATGAATCTCAAGTGTCCCTAATAAACAGAAGGTAAGATGGTTTGGACACCATCTGGCTACTTTCTTGCTCCCTGCCTCTCTTGGTTCTGGATGCCAAGTGTCACCTCTGGATTGTGAGCTCATCTTTCCATTTTTTACAGTGACAACAGTATATAAAACAGGATTCTGCTCTGTGTCTGTCATCCTGACATGCTCCTGCTAGCTGTGGGGAGGAGTTGGAGCTGAGCCATTCTGAACACAAACCAGCCCACCAGGCAGTCTTTTCAGACAGTGATCAACAGGCACCTAAGAAAGGAGCTGTCTGGGCTGGGCACTGATGTTTTGCCTCTGCAGAGAGTATGAAAATGCTCTGAGTGGCTTGTGAGAGAACCACCTTGCCCAACTTATTTCTCTGCAGAGCCTCCCTTGCCATCCAGTGCAGTTTTCTGCCTGCAAAGGTGAGTTGGATAGGCACGTTTTCTCTTGGTGCCCTCCCAGATAATGCTCCCCCAAAGGAAACACGTGAATACACCTTCAGCATGTACCAGGTCAGTCCATGGAGTATGGGCACTTCTAATCTCCTACTCTCCCTTATGCAGACTCCTGCTGAGAGATTTCATGCATCTCCACAAAAACTACAACAAGACTACCCATCTGCTCTCCTGCACCTCTCTGGTGGCAGCAGACCATGCTGAGGTTCCTTCAGCACCGGCTTGCCCCAGCCTGTGGACAAAGGGTTGGCCTGACAATTGAGAAGCAGAACAGCCTAGGACTGGCTCCCTCAATAGAGGAACACCCTTGGTCCTGGATTGTGAAGGGGATCAGATTATTCCTTCATTCAGACAAAGAAGGAAATTAGAAAAGGGAGGTAATGCTGGAGGACTTCACAACACACACACTGTGGCCCCAGGGTGTCCTGTTAAAACGATAACGTGACCCACAGAAGAATCACCTTTCTCAGAGCCCCTTGCTTGCTAGTGCATTTATCTTTGTCACATGTTAACCCTGTGGAGGAAGGAGTGCATGCTCCAGAGGATGCACATGGGGAGCGGAGGTACATAGTGACTAAATGACTCCCCAAGGTTACATGGGAAGTGCATTGCAGCCAAGAAGGAAACCCAAATGGCCTATGGTCTAGGCCAGGACCTTAACCCACAAACCAGTGATCTTTTTTGAGTGAATTTGCTGTCTCTGAAGGCTTCATGTTGAGACTGGATGCCTTTCTGGTAAACACAGTTTAGTTAAGCAAGTTATTGGGCTTGACATTGAAGCAACAAGGTTAAATTGTTAATGGCCTGCCTTATACTCAATAGTTCCTTCTGGCCATAAAAATCTGCAAGCCTATGGGTCTAGCATGCTATCATCTAACCTCATCAGAGAAGAGATACCAGAGCATGTGGTGCTACCCCCAGTATTAAAGGATAACTTGGAACATGCTCCCTTGGGGCTGCATTGAGAAGTAGGTGACCTGCTAGCCCCTGGGGCCTGGTACCTGGTGGTAATCCTCCATAAATTTCAGGTGGCTCTCCTCACAGATCAGCAAATTGAGATACTCCTTCCAGTCAGCATGGACTGCCTCGATGTGAGCCTGCAACACAACAGCAACATCATAACTATGGGTTAGGAGCAGTGCTGATGTCAGTGAGATATACAGTAGTTTTTTATCAGCTCTGGAGAAGAACAGGAGTGAGGTGTTTACTCTGCCAGGACTGGGGGCTAACCCTTCACATAGCAGTGCGAGTGACAGAGTAACAGCGGCAACGCACTGTCCCACTCTTATTGGTCTGGAAGCAATTGCCCAGATTGTTACAGGGCCAGATTTGTTCCTTATGTAACTCCATGGAAGCCTAAAGTGTTATACCACAAAAGACCCTAATCCAATATGCTTCCTTCTCAGGGAAGTACCAGCTGCCGTGTCCCAGGAGGGGTATCTGAAGAGATTGCCGTAACTCCCTACGCTGCACCAAAGCTCCTTAGTAGAGTTCTGGGGATAAAGTTTGTGAAAATGTGGCCCATTTTCAATCAAGTATTGAATTTTCCCAGCTGGCTCTACCTTTTGTGGGGACAAACAAAACAGAAACCACAGGGATAGTGTGCTATGCTAAAGAGGTGTCTGTTTCTCCATACTCAAGAGGCAAATCCAGGAGGGATGTGGGAGCTGCAGTTGCACTCTGCTTTGGCTGTGTAGCACGTGTGCAGTGAGCATCGGCACTCACCAAACTGTCGGTGCAACTTCTGGCTGGTTCTATATCCCCCGGCTGGAGCTGGAGCTGCAGCTTCAGCATAGGTCTGGAGCCCAGGGGCATCCCACTGCCCCCCTGCTCACCACCAATCTTGGATAAAGAGCAGGGGAGCTGCCTCCATGGAGAGATGCCTCACTGTACTGGGAGGCTGAATGAGCAGGAGTTACCTGCATGGCATGTGCTATAGGGCATGTACAGATCGGAGGTCCCTAGCACTCCTTGGGCAACTCACCTCAATAGCGTTCCTTGCTGGGTGGTTCTGGGCCAGCAGCTGTTCCCCATCTGTGTGCAGTTTGTTGATGGCCTCCTCTTTCTCTTCAAGCTTCCAGTGGATAAAGTTCTAGACAGAGTGGGACATTCACACTCAGAAGCAGTCGGGAAGAGGCCTGTTACTGAGAAACAGGAACTGACCCCTGCTTAGCCTCAAGTTGTACCATCTTAAAATGAAGGGGCCTGGTTCATCAGTCAGAGCCTCCTTCAAGGCAGGAAAGGCCCAGTCCTCCTCAGCCACTTCTTTAGCTCTTACTTTCCTTTCCATTCAGCTAATTTTTAGTTTCTGGCCCTGACTCTCTCTGTACCACCACCTAGGGTAAGTGAGAGAAGAGTCAGGTTCCCTGTCAGGCCACATAACTTTCACCCCCCTCCTGCTTTAGAGCATAGGTGGTTTGTACATGTAATGATAAACTGTTAGAGCATTTATACAGGTATTCTGGTAGCCGGGGGGAAGGTGCTTTAATTAGAGTTGCTCCAAGAGAAGGTGCTCTAATTAAAGCGACCAGAGCCTCTCATGTATGTGTCCCTGCAATTAAAAATGGTGGTGGGAGCACTTTATCTAAAGTTTTTCATGCCCCTACTGCCATTTTTAAGCATAGGGGTGCCGATACATGAGACGCCGGAGCATGGCAATTACCACGTTCCAACAGACTCGATTAATCAATTAATTACAGTGTCGGAGCAGCCTTGCTGCCCATGGATAGGCACCTTTAGCGTCTAATTACAGAGCATTTTTCAGCTGTAGAGCCCAAAGCACTTTACAGAAGAGGTCAGGGAAGAAACCAAGGCACAAAGCAGGGAAGTAACTTGTCTGATCGCACCCCCCAGGTCAATACCAGAAGCAGCACCCTGCTGTTCTATATCCTAGAAATCCCCTGCCCATTAGGTCTCCCTGCACTGTGGTAACACACACTGTAGGCAGGAGACAGTTGAGAAGGTAGAGGGGCTTTGCATGTGCAAGGACAAATATACAGGTGACCCTCGCCATTCATGGGGGATACATTCTTGTATCCCCCGCGAATGGTGAAATCTGCAAATAAGGCGCTGCGTTCATGAACACAATCTACATTCATGAATGCAGTGCCCCTGCTTGCTGCGGGGGGCACAGCTCTGGCGGTGACAGCGGGAGCACGGTGGTGGGAGCCCAGTGGCAGCAAGTGCAGAGCTCCCAAGAAGCTCCTGTAAGTGTATAAGGTGTATTTAAAATGTGAATTTGGCATTCGCAAATATTTGAAACCGTGAATGCTGAACCCGTGAATAGTGAGGATTTCCTGTACTTCATATTGGCGGCGGCGGCTAGGGTAGTCCAGGTTATGGTCACTCCAGTCATAATTCATCTTGTCCTTTGCCTGCTGGTCCAGCCAGTACAGCTTGTTAGTGCAGCGCTGCATGTAGTCCTCCAGGGAGTTCAAATCCTGCTGTCGCTGCTGGGAGTCTGACTGTCAAAGGCAAAAATACCAGAGTCTCAGGGCTTGACAGTCAGTCACAGAGATAGGGGGCCAGCACCCAGTCCATGGAGAAAGAGCAGATGCTTTGAAGCACACCAAACCTTTCCCTGGCCCTGTGTCCCCTTCTCCCCTCAGTCAGAGGCTGTGAGGGCCCGCACCCACCCAGCCATCCTCCTCTCCCTCACTATGACCTCTGCACACTCATTGTCCTTCGCACACACAGATACCCTCACCCCACCTTCCAGTTCTTTTCATATCACCCCAGATCAGTTGTCTCAGGGCTGAAAAAGGTACTTACCAGCAGCTTCTGATATTTCACCTGGAGGTCACTTTGATATTCCTGAAAGCAAAGGGGAGATGCCAAGCATTAATTTCAGAGATGGTCCCCAGAGCAAATCTGGAATGACTTGAGGTCTGTAGGGAAAAGGGGGTTGCATTGGGGAGGCACTCTCTTTCTTTTCTGATCCATAATAAGTTTTAGGTCCATGTGTGAAACAGCTCTGGTTACATGTGTGGATTTTGGATTCCAAAAGAGGCAGGGAAGAGGCATCTGAATACAGGGTTTGTTTCTGGCCTATCTCTTGCTGCATGCAGGTGAGGGGGCCGCATTCCCCACATTACTGACCACCTGTCCTTCCCTCTGGATTAGTGTCTCCCAGCCTGTCCTTCCAGTTCCTTTCTCTGCCAGTCTAACAAGCTGCTCTGCATGCCCCTGGGTAGCAAAGTCTAGTTAGTGGCATGGGAGATAGAGGGGGCATGTGCCACAACAGAGATGGGCAGACAAGACAGGTACGCTGAACAGCAGTGTGAACATAAGTGGGATATGGACACTACCTTGTCCCCTTCCTTGTTGATGTGCGGTCCGATGGCCATCACCTCATTGTGGAAGATGTTGTGCTCTTCCACCTGACTGTTGACAAGAGGCAGGTCGGTCCCAAAGCCCTTGCTGTTCAACAAGTCCTGGGGCACAGAGAAGCTAAGATTAGTGACAAGAAGCACCCTGTAGCTTCTGGCTCTCTCTGAGAGCATGTTACACTGTGTCCCTGGCATTTCTGAGGTGCCTGCTCCCAAGCACCTCTCCCTACCTCCAAAGGGTACTGCACCTGGAAATGCTATGAAGCTTCTCATGTCCCTGGCAGCCACTCTCAAAAATACTGGAGAGAGAGGTCTTAAGAGTGGCAGTAGGAGGGCTTCACCCCCACTTTTCCAGGGTAGGGGCTTGCAAGTGGAAGTGGGCAGCAGAGAGCAGATGCCCTGACTATGACAGGGACCCTCTGTAAACATACCTTGAGAGCAGCTAAACTCCCAGCCTGAACAACTGCCATCTGCATCAAAGCAGACAGGGGGTGAATGTCTCAGCAGGATCTGTGTGGCCACAGCACCTAAACAGGGTGTTGTATGTGCAGGTGGGGAGGAGGGACACTCAGATTTCTGAAAGGCACCAGGGAAGCTGAGCTAGGCCTCCTCTATCCCAACACACTTGCAGGGGGGATGAGGGGGAAGGAACTGGAAGGGCAAGACATTTAGAAGCATCTCCTTCTCTCAGTGTTTAGGGAGCTTATGGGCACCCATGCACACGCTCAGGGAGAGGGGGCATTTTTAATTAGAGCAGCTCTCTGGAGTTGGTTTAATTAAAACACCTGCAGCATCTCATGTATTCAGCACCCCACATTTCAAAATGGCAGCAGGGGTGTTTTAACTAAAGTTAAACCTTTTATTAAAGCGTCCCCCATTGACATTTTGAACTGCAGGGATGCTGAATACATGAGATGCTGCAGCATACTGGAGTGTTCTGATTTGAACCTACCCGCAGACTTGATTAATCTAATTAAAATTTGATTAATCGAGTCTGCTCTGATGCATTCTAATCAGAAGTGTAGGAGCACAGGTAAAGGTGCCCTATGGCACTAGCTAAGATAAAGGCTGTTAAGAGCAGGTGTGGAAATGGCCTGCATACTTCTGTGGCCCAGTGAGGGCTATATAAGGATCAGCCATCAGTAGGCTCCAGCTGCCTGTCCTGTGAGTGACTGGAAGGATTTTTCTGCCATAATGTCATTGCATGATAGGAACATCCAGGAGGGCTCCCCTGGAGTTATTAGAGGCTAGAGGTCCAACCCATTCTGGTGGTCTCCATGCACTGACTGGCAGACTGGGACTTCAGCTCCCTGTGCTCTTTCTTGGAGACCAAGATAAGCCATCTAGGAGTCTGCCTGTTGACTCCAGCAGAAGAATGCTGTGCCCAGGAATGCGCAGTGGCCAGTGGAAGGGGTGGGTAGCAGGTCCCACCTGGACACTGAATGCTAATGAGTAGTGCTTCATATTTCCTGAGCACACTACAAGCAATTGACTGCCAGAGCATCTCCTCTCCCCCACTACAGGGACCATCACTCTCTGAGGCAGTTGAGCCTGAGCAGTCACTGTGGAACTGCAAAGCCAGCGTCGCCTCCCCAGTGCAAAGCGCTTGTCAGACAAACTGAGCTGCCTTTGGCAGATCAGGCTAATTTGGGGATTTACAAAGTGAAGCTGATGTGGCAATTTGAATAGGAGCAAAACCAATGCCAGGGAGAGACTGGGTGCCTTTTATTTGGCTGGATCCAGCTCCTGAATGCAGTGGGTGGAGTGGGTAGGCTCATTCTGGGAAAGAAGGGTTCCTATCAGTCCTAGTCTCCCTTATCCTCTAAATACAATACAGGGACTTCTCCAATCATGGGGCAGCTACTGCCAGCAGCACAGGGTGCCTGCAAAGTGCAAGGCACGGATATAGCACAGCTCTACAGCTCCCCTTTGAATAATTCTTCAGCAGCACCAGACCCTCAGCTGATGTAAACCAGCATAACTGCCTCCGCTTCAATGGATCTGCACTGCTTTGTCTCAGCTCCAAATCAGGCCCTTTGTTTTTAACTTTAGATGGATAGAGATGTCTGGTGGGTTGAAGGAAAGGAGAAGATGCAATAAAAAGGTGATGGGGAAAGCTATGACAGCAGTATCTATTTCCATAATGCTGATCACATCACCTGTAGTTCTGGGAGTATTAGAGAGGAGGCCAGTACCATTCTCCCCATGCCATGGATTGGGGGACTGAGACACAAGGAAGTGAGGTGACTTGTACAAGACCACCCAGCAGGGCAGGGACAGAGTTGGGGATAAAACCCAGAATGCTTGAATGCCAGATCTGTGCATCAGCCTCTAGACCATGCTTGCTCTCTAGGATCTTTGCCACTTCTGCATTGGTTCAAGCAGCTAGGAGCACTGATTTGTACTGATGCAGATTGCCCAGGTTTCTAACAGGTACAGGTTGCATTGGTGACATGCTGCTTTGCTGTAGGGGATCTACTTGCGTGAATCTCCACCATGTCTGAATTGCTACTGATCAGAACAGATGCCCTGGAGAGGCAAAACCTCGGTTTGGGATAGCTGACCTGTCCATCCTCTGTTCTTTTCCATATCATCCTGGTGTTCCAAACCCATTTGTGTCTTTATTTCACTCCGGTACTGCAAACCATCCTTTTCTGCCCCTGCTTAGTATCAAGATCAGTGATTCTCACCCTGGAGCCCATGAGATCCTTGTAGGAGTATCATGAGGTGCTGCACACTATTACTTTTGGGTGTACAAACACCTACACATGATTCACAAGATAAATCCAGAAATTTCAAATAGGAACCTATGGTGTCAAAACCATTCTGATCTGCTGTGGGCTGAGGTCTGTGCAATAGAAGAATTGCTCTAGTATTTTTCCATAGTAAAAAACAGATAAAATCAGGTTTGAAATGGACTGCCACTGAATTCAGAAAAGTTATGGAGGGGTGCATAGTGTCTAAAATGGTTGAGAACCACTAGTTTAGATCCATTATGCTGTTCTGCTCCCTGCATTGTTAAGCTACCCTGTTGGTTTTAAGGAGAGCTCCTGGGTGCATTTTTTCCGGGAAGGAAATGAAATCCCCTACCCCATGTGCAAGTTTTGGGGCAAGCACCAGTGTGCAACAGGGATCCTTGCCACCAGGGGTGGCCATCAGCATGCATAGGTCATCATACCTGCTTTTCATCAATCACCTCTGACCAGTTGACCTGTGGTTCAACCTCCTGTGGGGTGAAGTTGTAGATCTGGTCGTGTTTCAGGCGCAAGTTTGCTATGCGTTCCTTCAGCTGCCGGATGCTGCAGAAAGACAAGAGCATTCAGGGTGTGCGGGGTGTGCCTTGGCTGGTGTAGAATTGGTATCATCAGCTCTTGGTCACACTTTCTCAGACTCCTGCGTACAGTATGAGTGCATTGGGAGAGGAAGGTGGGGTGGTCAGAATGCTTTAGTGATCCCAGGGTTACACTCAGCTCCAACCTGGAGCCTGTGAGATCCTTGTAAGAGTATCATGGGGTGTGCAATATTATTTTGGGGTGTGCAAACACCTACACATGATTCACAAGATAAATCCAGAGATATCCCCAGTAGCCTGGAGATTAGGAGAGGGCAGCTCCCTCCCCACTTAGGTCCTGCACTGAGCACAGCCCAGCTAAGCCTAAGGACTCCAGGGCAGTAACACCCATACCCACATTATACACAATGCTTGACATGTCGCCACCAAAAGCTGCCAGAGATTCTAACTTTCCCTTTTCAAGTGTTCCTGTGTGGTTGAGAGCAGTTTAGATCATTTACCTCAGCCATCTTGACTGCTTATAAAGCATTTTGCACGTTGCACATGGCAATCACTGTTCCCATCTCTGAAATGCAGCCACTTCTGGGGTAGGAGGCAGCAGCTTCTTAATGACATGCTGCACAGCATGGTAGTCCAGGAAGTGCAGACAAACTGCAGCTACAGGCTGATGGTAATTACTTGGACTGGGAGCTAGACTCTGCTGACATTCCTGCCCTTATGGGAAGGAGATGTCTAGTGGCAAGGGTTCATGAACCTGATTTCACATCCCATCAGCATCAGCGCATCTCTAGCACACCAGGCTGATGAAGTGCAGCACTGGCCTCGAGGGAAGAGCAACCTAACAGAACTATCCTCACCTCAGCACTGCCAACCAGATCTGACACTGCTTGACTAGTGAGAAGTGGCCTAGTCACAGGCCTTGCTATAAAGTTATGCTATATCTGAGCTATGTTACACAACACGCTCCTGTAATAGTGCATACACACTCCACGTACCTGGGAAAGGGTTAATAAAGTGTAGCAGTGAGTACTATCAGTGCTGCTTGGTGCACCTGTAGTGGGTGTCCTTCTCGAGGGAAGAGGCTATAAAGGGGAGAACTTGCCTTAGTTGAGGCTTATTCAGAAGTGAGTGTAAATTGGCTGTTCTCACCCATGAGACATGCCTGGGTGGGACCAGGAACTGAACAGGCCTGTGGCTGCGAGAGCCTCCCTGGAGAAAGGACAGGCCTCAGACTGCACTGTCTGGATTTATTTGGGGCCTGAGGATGTTTGGTAAATCAAGCTACAGCAGAAGGTGCCTGCTCCGAGGGGAGAGTGAGGGTTGAAAATGAGCTCAGCTGTGACCAGGACTTTTTTATTTTGGCTTGCTTGGAGCTGTGACTCTGGCCTGGCTGTCTGGGAGGTAGTAATGGGTATCTGCCTCTTGTAGTGACCTGCTGGGAAGAGGCTGAAGGAGAATGGCTGCAGCACTGTGTCCTACTACAAGGAAATACAGAGAGAGTGAGGACCTGAGGATGCTTCCTAGAAGGTGTTGCAGAAATCCCTGCTGGCTCTAAGGAGAGGACAGAGGCACTGCTCAAAACAAGTCCACACAAGCATCATCCATTCAGGTCAGACCCCGATATAGATTTCCCCTCCCCTGAACTCACTCTTCTGTGATCATGTCGCCTTGTGGGTGTTTCATGTGCCTGGCAACTGCTGCATCACCATCCAACACGTAGAGGAGTTTGTCTGATTCTGTTAGCTTGCGTGCTGTGACATCCTTGTATTGAGCAGATTGGCCAGCCTTGATCTTGTGTAAGTCCTTTGGAAGCAGTAAGAAGAGAAAAGTGAGCCTGCTGAAACTGGGACCAACTGAATGGCTGAAGGACAAGCTGGCTGAAAAGCTTTCAACATGTGGTGCTGCTAAAGATGTGGTTGGACTGACTGCATTGGTGGGAAGGGTATAAGGAAGCGGGGTACCTGTGAATGACACCAACCACCACACAACTTCCCTAGCACTGATCCTTTGAGGTCCTGCCCACAAACATCTGCTTGGGAAGGCTGGTCTCTCGCTGGACTTTGCTCCAAGTTACTCCTGGTCTTTTCTTTTCTATCTATATTAATATGTATTTGCTTTTTTGTTATGCATGCAAGCTCTCAAGGCAAAGCTGTAGCTGACCATGATGGTATTTCCTTTAAATAAATCGCATCACAGGTTTACTGGGATGTGCAGCGGAGACAAGACTCAACAAAGAGCCGGCTTCCAGCTTCTTCTCTACACTACTACTACCTCTCTATACTAGAACTCCTAGGAGCCCTTCTTCAAGGTATTGGTAACCAGGGTCTAAGGGTTTACCTTTCTGTCTATGTATCACTCCACTTATGCCTAGCAATAAGTCCTAATACTGGTGGCATTAGGCAAATCTTATAATATGCTCCCTTGGATGGACTTCAAATGCAGTAAGGGCCCTCTTGGAGAGGACAGTCTGCTTTTGCTGTTTACACAAAACACTAACCAACAGGGAGTTTTTAATGCAGGATCTGGTAGATCCAAATGAAAGTCCTGCAATTTAAATGATTTTAACAAAACCAAATGGGACTAGAAATACATTAAGGGACTTTAGTTCCAGTTGAAAGGTTTGTGTGTTTTGGGAAGGGGTATTTGTTTAAGGGTTTGGATAGGTTGGGTAAATACTCCTCTCTGGACTGTGAAATCTCCTACATCTCAGGGGTGTTGTGGTTGCTTAGAAATGGCAAGTGGATGAAACTGTAAATGGAAAGTGAAAGTAGGCAGTGTAACTTCACTGT